GGGGGTTGTTGCAGCGCAAGGGCCCCCAACTGTCGGGGCCCTAAGTTCTCGACCTAACAGTAACCACACCTTATGAACGTTACGCTACACTCCGTTAAGCCGGTTTTCCACTAGGCGGAATTTTGCGTGCGGAGCGGAATTTTTGTTTGTCTTTTCTAATTAGTTCCACCCTAGAAATCACAAGACAAAGAAAAATTCCGCTCCGCGCGCAAAATTCCGCCTAGTGGACAACCGGCTTAACGCTACGTTATTTGCTACATTGCTATAATGTTTCATGCAGTGAAAGTGTATCGATAAGATTTTGTGTGAGATGAAAGTCAAGTCCTCCACTGAGTGCAATACTTTTGAGTGCTCTTGACCAGGTTTGCTCACTGGATTTCGGGATTACAGAATTAGAAGAAACCAATGTTAAACCAACCTAATTCGAAATATTTTATATGAAAGCTGCTGGTTAGTTCGTCATGAAACCTTCAAAAACCTATTCATAATTATTCATGAGGAAAACACAAAGAAAAATCATAAGCGTGTCCTTATCTTTATATGCGATAGGGATTTCCCTTGATCTACATAAACTATAACTTCGCTTTTCTCGACTTATACAACGCATTTTTAGAAAATTTCTACGCCACTAAACGTTTTTGAAGCAATTTAAAACATTCGCAGTGCGTATTTTGTCAGACCTAAAGATACTCGGCTTCGCCTTGTACCCATATCTTTATATCTGATAATTTACACTGCTGCTCATGTTTTAAATAGTATTTAAAGCCACATAAAGTATCTAGTTGACCAAAAGCCTAAAGTATTAATAGTATCGCACAAAAAGCGTAGTCCTATAGTGATGTACCACTCGCGTTCACTTCAAAAGTAATTTTATAAAATCCCTAAAAATCCATTATGATCCCTAAAAATCTCAAAAAACCCAAACAAATTCAAAATTTCTCCAAAACTCTAAAAGCTCCCCAAAACGATTATTGCAGAACTTTTTACATCCCAATATTTTTTGAAGTGGTACACATCTCGGTGCCGTCTCTATTCAAGTACTCGTTACTTACTCTTTTTAAAAGCATGGAGCTTTAAACTTGACGTTAGCTAATTAAATTTTTACTTTTATTATGTTTGGTTTTATTAAAGTTATTTGCTGGGCTCTGCTCTTTATCTTTAAAGTAAGATTTCCGCCTGGTGTATCAATTGCCACAGTTTTATTAGTACTATCGCACAAAAAGTGCAGTCCTATAGTGGCGTATCACTCGCGTTCACTTTGAAAGCAATTTCATAAAATCCCTAAAAATCCATTATTTATGATCCCTAAAAATCTCAAAAACCCCACGAAAATCCAAAATTTCTCCAAAACTTTAAAGGCTGTGCAAAACAATTATTGCATCATTGAGAATTTTTAACATTCCAATATATTTTGAAGTGGTACACCTGTCGGTGCCGTCTCCATACAAGTACTCGTTACTTACTCTTTTTGAAAGCATGGTGCTTTAAACTTGACGGCATCGCTTCGGTGCTTTAGTTGCTTCGTACAAAATTCCATTATGTAAGATCAAATTCCCTCCAAGATCTGTAGTTGTACTGTCAAGATGCTGTTCTATAAGAAGTATGCAGAAACACCAATAATTTGTGCCTATTCCCACATAATTAAAATAAAAATGAATGTACCCAGGAACGACAAAACGGCATGGGGACGGTGGATTTTTGTAGAGAGGCACTTTTTAAATTAATTGACATGCGGTATATTCAGGGAAGCATCTCGAGTCGGGATGTACATGTAGGGTGGTAAGGGATTTTACCTGAATTTGAACTTCAATGTTAAAATGATCTTCAATCACTACTCAGTAATTGCAATTACAGCATCCTTAAATTCGTAAAGGGTAATCCTCCGAAAATGCTTACCGCTTTGAAGCTCGACGAATGCATTTCTGACATTTTCTAGAGAGAGTTCGCTAAACAATTGTGTCTTAGTTATTTACTTGCGTATTCGTGAATTAAACTTACCATTTGCAATTCCCTTGTATCATATTTAATGTTGTTATCTTATAAGGTACTAAATCTTTGTTTTATTATATTATACTGGAATTTCCCCCTCTCTTGCTCCTGTTAGAAAAAGGTAGAAAGGGCGCTTGGTTCTACCGGACAGTCCATTCGATATACGTGGTTCTGTTAAAGTACGTCATGTTTAGTAACAGTTACAATTAGTTGCAGTTACATGCTCAGAAAAGGGACTATAGTTACCGTATTTACTCGTTTGAGCGCCGCCCCCGATTGAGCGCCGCTCCCGAATGAGCGCCGCATTTGAGATCAATTTTTTCTAAAGAGCGCCGCCCCCGAATGAGCGCCGCACTAAACAGTGCAGTAAAAACTTTCAGCCGTCAAAATGGGGACATTTAGTAACAAAAACCTTTTAAAACTTGTCTACTTTATAGTTAAAAGTTCTTGTCATAATTCACAAATAAAATATTTTTTAAAGAGCGCCGCCCCCGATTGACCGCCGCCCCCGAATGAGCGCCGCATCTGAAGCTCTGAAAATTTAAAGAGCGCCGCGGCGCTTAAACGAGTAAATACGGTATGGGTTATAGTTGCAAATAAAAAATGTAACTAATTACCGTTACAAAGATACTTGTTTTCTAATTTTCCCAAATATTGATGGTTGTTTTAGCTAGCTTACCAGATGATCTTGATACGCGGAAAAGTACTGGCACTAGTTGTCAAATAGAAATCCATTTCGTGATTAAAACAACTGAATATCTCCTGTAATATAATTTATTTCGATTCCATATTTTTGTCAGAGCTATAGTTCTCATAACCAAACATAATTACAAAATTTCAACCAGTTTCATAAAGAATGACGAAAGATATAATTGACTGAATACATCAAAATGGATTTCTATTCGGACAACCCTTTCTGAGCGCTGATTGGCTAAAATACGAACACGAGAACACCTGGCCTATAAATAGGCAGTAAAATTTGGAGAACATGCATGCTCCCAACGTTTAGAGTTGAATAACAAAGGAGAAAACAGATATGGCTATAGGAGCAAATGAATGTGTGTAACTCAGATCTATAATAATTCACGTATATATATGGGTCATTTACATACAGTATATATCAAATATTGAAGAAATGGACTGATAACTTTGGTATACTAAAATATTTTAAGTGTTTATTTCGCCATTATGCACACGTCATTGAATAATTGGCAGCATTCCAGCCATAAGTGTATGCAGCTTTTTAAATATTCACTTTACTATCCAAAACACAAGTACACCATTTATATAATCCCTAATAACTTACTGTATGCTAACTTTAATTTATTTGGAGATACATCGACCTTCAGACTTCTTATGCATTTGGACTTCTTGTTAACAAGATGCTTTTTATACACGAAGCCTTTCACGTAGCAACAATTGTTCTCGGTCCACCTTAAAGCAAAATTTCAGCAACACATATTAAAGATCGTGAAAATAATAAGGGTACGCGTGTTGGACTATTGTCAGTTAGCGCAGAAAGCGCTGATAAATCTATAAAGAAGCGCTGTTTTGCCCTGTAAAAAAGCTAAACCGTTCGTATAACCTTGATACGAAGAAGCCTTGGCATTTTCGAGATTGAGATGTTACTCTTGCCTTTCAGAGTGTAGTTTTAGATTCGTGATTTAGAAAAGGTGATTTTATGTCTAAGAGTTTTCTCCAAATTCCTCCACAATATACAGAAAATGCCGTTTCAGAGACCCAAAATTCAATATTTTTCGGGAAGAATGCACCCGAATTCCCCACAATTCCTCACGAAGGCCAAAATCCGCATTTTTTTATGTAATTTGTCGTCTGCCCTCGAGAAAGATTCTATAGACAATTCAAACAACGTGAAAGAGAATTTTTAATCGGCCATTATACAAACAACTAAAAAGTTGTATTTCGTGGTGCGGAGACTTTCAAACGTGGGAGAGGCAGTACCCCGCCAGAAATGGCGGGAAATTAGCCGTGAGAAAGGTTAATTGTGACGCAAGGCAGTATGCGTCTGTGAATGGACTACTTAAGTCCTCTATCACAAGATTATTAACTTACTTCCCCTTCTTGTCATTTTGAATGACGTCCAGTTCATCATTGTCTATCTGATCATCAAGCAACTTCGTCCACGGGTTTTCTTCATCCCGAGGCAGAGCTGCAGCAAAGCAGATCAGAAAAGTAGCTATGATTGTTTTCATCATCATCTTGACAATTTCTCCTAATTAGAAAAAGAAATATGAGTAATTTGAATTCTTATAATAAATATGAGAGCCCAACATATAACTTTTAACAAAGCGGCCGTTAAAACAGTTAAGATTTTAAAGAATTTTTATTTATTTATTTATCTGAACAGGAGAAAAGAATTTTTCATCCAGTCCAGTCATGTCTAGTATTTTCTCTCATTTAAATACTACAGGTCACTCTGCCAACTTTGACGACTTCGAAATTCTTTCCTCTTGCTCTGACACTTGTGATTTATTGATTCACGAAAGCCTTCTTATATATATCGAAGCTCAAACCCTCTCTTAACGTTCAGGGCAGCTCTATTCCGCTTAATAACCTTCTGTAATTTGCCGTTGTCTTGCGTCCGTTTTGTTTCCTCATTTGTATCTTCCTGTCATACATACACCTTCTTATCCTTTATTATCCTTAGTAACATAACACCTTGTAAATAGATTATAATTAATTTGCTTATATATATTCAAATCTCATGTAATTTTATCTAGTCTGGAGATGTCTTAAGTTAAAGTTAACTTAAAGACGAAACGTTACAATAAAAATTCTTTAAAATCTTAACTGTTTTAATGGCTTTGTTAAAAGTTATATGTTGGGCTCTCATATTTATTATAAGAATTCGTTTTCCGCCTGGCAAATCTCTGGCAACGATATTGAGTAATTTGAGACAGAGTGTGAGGCAAAAGTGCTTATCAAAAATCTGCATATATAATCCTTATGGCGGCTTCGGTGACGCAGTCGTCAGAGAAGAGCCTTTCACTCTTAGATCGTAGGTTCAATTCTCGCTTTGGGTATTATGTGAAAAGAGTCAGTCAGCACACTCTGGCTTGTCGTGGGTTTTCTCCTGGTGCTCCGATTTCCTCCCACAAGGAAAGTTGACAGGGTGATAAACACAGTTAAGAAATTAATATTACAATTCTTGTAAGGATAAAACCATAGATATCTTATATACACTAGATAGCGCATCTCTTTTAGTAAAATTGAAGCCAAGAATATTCCAGCGGTTACTCCCATTTGAATAGATGGCGGCCATGTTGGTCGTTCCCACTTGCTAATAAACGCTTAAAAACAACAATAACTTTCATCATTTGAATAGTTTAAAAACGTATTTGGAATAGAGTTAACTTAATGTTTAAGTTCCCTGTTTAAGAAATAGAAAACATACGAATCTTCTCATTTCATGGGAACGAACTGAGACTGCAATCACGGCTTCAATTTTTGAATTGCAGAATAATTAGATGCACTATCTAGTGTATATATAAGATATCTATGGATAAAACAGACTATAAATAAGTAATTAGCTAAGCGTAATACTTGATGTAAACAAGCGTAATTTGATCATATTCATATGTAAATTTGCGTGACATAGAAATGCTCATATAATTGTGTTCGTCACCCATGACTTGCTAGAGTCACCAATCAATTCTATACAGATACTTAGCTCTGAATAGGGGTATAGATTTACAATTTTGATGTCTAAAAGCTATTGGGCTCTTGCAAGTGACTTCATGACATGCATTCATTGATTTCAGCCATTTTGGGTGGCGAATTAAAAATAGTTAATAAAAGCAAACATTGTGTTAAAGCAAGACTGTGGCACTGACTGCGGCTGTTGCTTTTGTTTCAGCATTTTGAAGAGTTATAGTGGTCCGGCCACAGCTGTGTCAGTAATCGGTTGAATAAAAGATTTTTTCCACCTAAAATGGCGAATTATTTTAGTGATGATACGTCATACTGCAAAGACCTGAATATGTATATTTTATAACATTTTTGTTTTTCTGTCTCATTAACTCATTAACAACATTGGACAACCATTCGCACGTAAAATATTTCAGTGTATCAATAACTAAATACACCCTTTCGTGTCTGAGACATTGGTTTAAAAGACCTTTATCTTGTTAGGGAGCAGTCATTATTTATGGCGGGGGGTGGCACCGAAGAGAAAAAGGTTGGGTAAACAAAATTTTGAGTAAGTAAAAGGTTGGGTAAATGAAAAACAAAACAAC